TGAAACAGAAATATAGCACTATAATAACTTTGAGCAAGTAAACAAGAACAAAAACTGATTCAAATAACATGGTTAAAAGCTGCATTCCAGGACTCCCTTGAAAAAGAGGTTCTTAATCTCAATGGGACTTTCCTGGTTAAATAAAGGTGAAATAAAAAATAAAAAAAGGGGTGTCTACACTTGTCCATGGGGCGACAAACTGGATTGGCAAAATATTTTTTGGAAGTATTCAGGCTGTGCTGGGCTTTAATATGAGGTATGACACTATGTCCATATTGATTCACACCACAGCTACCATATATGGAATTTTGTAACACAATAAAAGACAAAGTTCAATACATACATACATTTGGTTAACAAGGATTTCAAAGGGACTGAGCTCTACAACGAGGTATAGCATGTGTGTATCGGTAGAGCTGAAGTTGGCTGAATGACAGTGTGAACATACCCAATGGGCAGTTTGTGTTAGCAAGGCAGAGGACCACATGAAAAGCATTTGGCCTGGTTTAATTTATACCTGTTAAATACATACATAACATCCATGCTGGATTTTGTCTGATCCAGATGGTCTGAATGAGTGGTGTATTTTACATTTGGAAAGGCAGTAAATCTCAGGTACCAAACCATAACAAATGGAACTATAAAATCCATGCAGCTAGTTCCTCGCTGTCAAAACAGTTTGTCTCCATAGTTTTCACAAGCAATGCCTCTGTCACAGCTTTAAATCAGCCTTTTCAGACGGAAACGATAATATTATCTTTACACAAGTCTTTCTGTTGTGAGAAACGAAATGTATTCTTTCCTGAAACAGCTTTAACTTGAATATCACTCACCTCTCCAAAACAATTCAACACAAACACATCCTTTAACCAATTCCCTGCAGTGTTGGCTGCTACTGCTAATATATAAAAACACAAACCATCACAGAACCGCTATTGTGTGGCACTTTTACGTCCTCTTTTATGTGCTGACCTTCACCTTCCTCTGCTCACCGACGGTAACTTGCGGCACACCCCTCTAATTAGCCCGTCTCATTTCCCGTCCCCCCCTCCTCACACTGTGCAGCAGGTGGGCCACACCAAAGCGTCTGGCCCTCACACGCTCCACCATCTCTGCAAGCCGTCTCGCTCACGTCCTGCTAATGAACGCAATATGTTAAAAAAACCCTACCTTAAACGAGCTTTCCCCCCTCCCCACTGCCATTTAAATTTCACACGCTCGGAGGAAAACAAAGAAAGACCCCCATTGTGCTGCTTACAGTACCCAATCAGGCCCGCCACTCAATTAGCTATGGATGACATGGGCCAGACCAAGACGGATTCGTGTCATTGGAAGTCTTCATTGGTGTGTGCGAAGGCAGTGGTAAATGCAAGCTCTCATTTGCTCTAATAACCCGTATAATGCAGAAAACACAGACAACAAAATCTGTATTGATTTTCTTTCGGCCTCTACGTAAAGTAATTGAGCTGCGTTTGAGTCATATTCGATATAAAAGTACCAAAGGAAAATGTTTTTTTAAGATGAAAGAGAGAGAGCGAGAGTAAGGCTCTGGTCATGATACAGACGTAAGGACGGTATCATTAGGTTTTTAGGTTGTCAAAAGTAGTGAAAAATAGATAACAATCAATACTTAAAGAAGCAGTATGTAAAAATCTGGCCAAAATTGATACTAAACTCTCCCTGACTCAGCCAGATATGCAGACGAAACCAGCTGGGACCATAATATCTGAATAAAGAGTTTTGTCAACAACAAATCTATAACCAACACCTTTTTCACAAAGATAGAAATCCTGGTTTTATTCCTTGTTTAGTTATTAATGATTTGGGAATCATAACGAGAGCTTTTTTAGTTCTACAGCCTAAAATGTTACTTTACCAGTGAAATTAGCTTGATACAGCGAGTTCTGGCAACCAGGATCACAGACTTTCTGATTGGTGAAACGATGGAGGGCGGGACATCGAAATGAAAACAATAACAAGATTTAGGGCCTGTAAAACTAATTTGGAAATCCAAATATCTCGGCTGAACTAAGTAAGTAAGTAAATTTAGTAAGTAATCTTTATTTATATACCGTCTTTCACAGACCAGAGTCACAAAGCGGTTTAGAGTTGTTATTTTTTGGGCATTTGTCTCTCACTCCACACAGAGATGGGAGCAGGGTCACCAGTACAGGAGGAGCATGCCAGAACTACAGTATTGTACATTAGTTAAAGACGTATTGGAAATGAAAATGTTTTATTAATGCCTTTTGACATATTAGGGCCATTGAATGATCACTTGAGATGAAAATCTTACAAATTGCTACTTTAACTAAAAGCCAGAAAGAAACTACAGAATTGTATATGTATAACGGGCATCATCTGCGTATAAGGAAATGTGATGGTGTTCAATGGTGCCATTCAATTGGATTGACATTATCAGACAAACCAATAACAAGGGACCCGGGCAATGGCACAGGGAGAAGAACACTTATTTCCAGTGAGTACCTTTCAATATTTTCTTCCAGGGGGTTTGAAAAACATTTTGTTAGCTTTGAAACCAGCAGCTTTTTGTCTTCTCTGCTTTAAATGTTGAACTTGTGTCCTAAAAAGTATTATTAACTTTTCTATTCATTAGTATCAATATCAACTTTGAAATTTCAGTTTTGTAGAATACTTTTAGGTACATTTGTTTTCCAATTGGATTACACATTGAGGTATGCAGGTTAGAATGTCTGTGTGTGTTTCAATAGGTACCACTCAATCTCCAAGGAAAGGAAAAACGTTGGCTCCGAAACTGTAGCTTCAAACTCAAAGTCTCCTCATTTTTCATAAATTTGTCCCTTCTGATTCTCCCAACTTTGAACCAAAACAGCTCAGCGGGAAGCTTAAGTTCACTTGTGTCCTCAGAGTCCTCAGCCTTTTGATTTTTAAAAGCGTGGCTTGCTCTCGGGGCGTACTGCATTCTGGGCTGGCAGCAGTAGAGGCTTCATAAAGAGGAGTCAACTTCAATCAGGCCTCGTAATGAGAGCTGGCATGATGAAGTTTCTGTAATCTGGTTCAAGCACACTCTCTTGTTTAATTAAAGCAATCCAACAGAGGTGCAAGCAGTGGATTGACAATGGATACGGCTCATATTTCAAGGAATTGAGTCAAGTATTGGCTTATAGAGAGTTTCCACAAAGTTTCTCCTGTCTTATCGGGTAGCACAGTTCAACAAGGGTACTTTTTATGAGGGACATTGCTTTTTCTTGATTGCATAGATTCAAATCAATGTCTAAATTTAGAAATGATGATGTTATGATGTGATTGTTTTGAGATTATTAGCTTTAACCCTTCAATGTTCACTCCTTGAAGAAAGCAATGTTATTTTTTTATTTTCTATAAGATGCAGAAGCACTATTAACACAAATAATTGGGTTTTCTGTCTTTTTAATTTTTTAATTTTTTTATTACAGGTCTTTACCAAATGCTTGAGATGCGGTTTGATGGTAAAAGTGCCTAAAACCAAGTGATAGAGATGCCCCAATGAGGGAGATTTCAGTTCTAAGCGTCAAGTAGATTTTAGTGACTCTTAAAGTGGCCAAATGGTCAAAAGAAAACTATTAAACGGTTAAAATGAGGTATGACATGCCATGGTCGCATATTGGCCAGGTGGGAAGAAGTGAAGGCTAACATTTCAAAAACATACAATATAAATCTAATATTTTTGTTTTTTTTATTATAAATGCCAACATGAATCCTGTAATATCATAACAGTATAAGTTTGGGCGCAAAATATTTCACAAAAACCCAAGGAAAAGACAAAAATGGCCACTCGTTTTTCTAACATGAACTTGATACAATTGTCCTTTTTATTTCAGCCATCGTTCAAAGAGTGTTCAGCAGTGGGTACCGCAGTGCAGTGTCTTATAAATAGAATGAAAATAAATAAATAACTATATAAATGTGATTAAAAGTGGAAAACTTCAGCGGCTGTAAAGTTTTCTTTACCGCCCTCAGACCATCGCTGTATAGAATCACTCCATAGTGTGCTGATTGTTTGGTCGTCCACAATGCTTCTTTTACTGCTCAGAGTAATTATGTCCGGTGGGATTCATAAAGTCCTGTAATTTTGAGAATATTTTGGTTACTCTTCAACTGTGAGGGAGTCTACATTTGATAAAAGCTTTGTGTTCACTGTAATAAGTCATTCAAATGCAAAAGTTAACTTTATGTCACTCCTCGAAAGTTACTGGTGCTTTTATTTATTGTTTTCAGACAAATGAAATGCATTTTTGTTGTTGTCGTTGATGATGATTACTTAATGCTGTGGGTATTTTTTTTTTTTCTTTAAAAATGCATCCAACATGAGAAAAGACCACAACCACGACCGCAATTCTCTTTTTCCTTTTTTCTCTTTTCTTCACCACAGCAATACAGGTTATGTTAACATTGAGACAGAACACGTTTTAGGAGGTAAAGGAGTCGTCAGAAGCATGTTTATCTGGGCCTACCCCTTTTATGCATCTGAAATCAATTAACAAATGTTTCAAAATATAATTAGTATAAAGAAATATTATTTATATAATGCTTTAGAGTGTTTCCAATTTCTTGGACTGAATGATAAATCACCATTTAGATATGTTGTCTGTGCTGAGTGAAAGTCTATATGTAAGTGTACTTTATGTTTACGGTGAAACTGTTTTAAAACTGTCCATATCCAGGACCATAATACAACGCATGCCCCTATTTAAGAGATTTTTCACTTTTCTGTCTTAAAAATCTGACCTAAAGATGTGATGGAGGCCAAAAAACACATGCATCATGAGAAACATACAGAACCAAAGTGAAAGTGAGCCGCTAGTTACGCAGACTGTGTTACATAGTTCCATGGTTGTGGTTTATAATTATGTTTTTTTAAACCAGAATGCGAGACCAGGCCATTGGGATGTGCCGCCTTATGTGAAAAACGTCTTGATAATTTGATGTATCCCAGCTTTAAGGTACAAAATAACTTCCCAGTCGTAACTCGGTCTTACCTTGCTGCGATGTACAAGGTTCTGTCCATGATCATGATGAGCTGAATGTCCAGTTTGTGCCGCTGCGTGTTGTTTCGTCCTGGTTTATGTCCGACGAAGGCCGGGTACTGCTTCGTATCTGCAGGAAAAACAGACACAGGTAATGAGCACTGTAGAATCTAAAATAGCCTCGCAAATTACAACTTCACAGATTCGGCTTTTGCATTTGTCCTTGGGGTTTTGAGCAGAGATCGGACAGATGGGGAAAAAAAAAAGCGTGCAGTCTATTGTTACTTCAACCTTAGTTTAGCCATAAATTGTAAACCAAAATGGGCTTTGGCGTACCGTGCAATTGTTCTATTGTTGGTGGCTTAAGATGAAAGCGCTCGGGTTATGGGGACAACTTAGGAGCAGAACGAGACCAGACAAACAAAGCCAAAGGAGAAGAATGAGAAATAAGGTATAAAGTGGCGAGACAATGGGCAGATCTTCAGTTGAATTTAAACTATCCCAAAAAGCCCAGCAGAAAAATACTACAAGATTAGTCTTTGATGTTGCTGTAAGTCGTTCGTTCTAGTGGCCGCCATGTCCTTTCGGTGCCAAATTACGAGACGCAATTTAGGACAGAAGCTTTGGGGCGAAGGGGGGTGTAGTAGGAAGCGATGGAGAAAGAGAGGATTTGGGAGACGAGAAACAAGGGGTGAGGGGAGTTCGTGGAGGAGCAGAGCCGGACTATAAATGAGGAAGGAGAATGTTGGCAAGGGCATGTATGGAAAACTAGGCTTTAAATTAATGGTGCTGCTAAGTGTTGGTCGAGAAATGCATCCCTTATTAGATTTTTGAATTGATTTACTTCTCAAGATTGAAAGCTTAGCCAAACACCAACTTAAAAGTGTAAGTCAAAGATCCAGAAGAAATGAGAGGGAACTTACGGAGCATGATATTGTTTTTTTATGAAGCAGACGTGCAATTTGTCTTCTTTTCTGAGTGTGTAGCATCCAAGTGGTATTTATATGTGTGCAAAAGTGATTATCCCCCCTCTGTCAGTGTGCCCCAGGGCAGCTGTGGCTACATTAGTAGTTTATCGCCACCGTGTATGGAGTGAATGAATAATGACACATGTGAAGCGTCTTTGAGTGTCCAAAAAAGCGCTATATAAAACCGATGCATTATTATTACTATTATTATTATATAACAACTTTTTGAGGAAGATTCAGAAGATGCTTTATGCCTGACTTTTGATCTTACTTGTTTACACCAGATAACTAAGAACATTCCTAGTGTTTAAGTATTCTGATTCTAATTCTGATCCCATAGAACTAAAAAAGGGATTCTAAAAACTTTATTGTACTTTGTACCCACCTGAATCGATAAATATAGCACATAGTCCCAAGTCCACACTTGGGAATTACTTCTGTCAGTCCAGTTCTTTTCTTATGACGTCACAGTTTAGTGACGTGATGAGGACTATCATGTGATTCTGGTGCAAACCAAGCTAATTTGGCTAATGAGTGTCAATGTCCAAACCTGAATTCCTTTTTAGTCTTGTAAACTTAATTCATATCAATAAAGTACAAAGTTAAATAGATAAAAAGGAGTACAGAAATACGATCAAACGAGCCGTGAATATACACAGTACGTTTGAAGTGTGACCAAAAATGGATGAATAGGACTCCCTATAGCATTTCATGACACCCACAGACGCTTCACATGGAGTTATTAAATCACTCCACACACAGTGAAGGTAAACTACTACTGTTTTAAAAGTTGAATTATGTTTTAAAAGTTGAAACCCGCATACATGTCCTAAGAGACAAATGTGGCATGAAATGGGACAACTATAGAAACAATGGGACAGAATGGATGCGATTAAGGAAGCCATGACAGAAGACATGCTGTGGAGGTGTCGAGTTTCTCACAGTTGCCGTGGGAGATGCTGATGGGCTCTGAGTCGTCAGGGAAAGCCGCCCCGACCAGCTGCAGCAGGCTCAGGACCAGGACGAGTTCTGGCCTCATGGTCTCAGCACTCTGCTGTGGTCCACTGCCTCAGCCCAGTCTGAAAGGAGAGAGAGAGGAGAGTTATGGCACAGCCGAGCAGGCAGCAGAGGACAGGCCAGAGCACATTTACTTTAGAAGAGATTTGTGAGAATAAACGTCTACTCGTCCCGCAGTGAGGAAATGTCACTGTTGCAGCGGACAGTAGTAAGAGCACACAGGGTGCACACAAAATATACAATCTACCAAAATATCTATATTATTGAAAAGTTCGTACACAAGGCAACTCAAAGTGCTGAACAAAACAAGAAAATCAAAGTCGCAATTTCCGTGGGCGCAACTAACAAAATATTGAAGTTTCATCTGTCAATAGAACCAGCAAGCATAATTTTCTAATTCCAAATGTGACTTCTCCTCTTTTTGATAATTTACAACATATTTCAAAAGGTGTTGTACAACTCAGGTCTGACAACTTTGTGAGAAAAGATACACAGCAACTTTATTCAAGCATTTATTGTTCTACTATAGATTACAACTATAGGACGATTCTCTGAGATATGTGGGGAATTGCATATTAGGCAATCACTTCAGAAGTACACTAAAGTGATTGAAGAAACTCACTTTTTGTCTCCAAATTACAAATGTTACATACAGGAAAATTGCAAATCCCAATCGCAATGTTAATCAGAACTATCACAATTAGATATTTCGCCAACATTAACAGCCCAAGTCAAATGCACTACAACATAAAACAGGTCGTTGCTTAGTCAGTGAGTCCAAAGAGAAAACATAATCTTTTAAAATAGATGAATCGCCAGCATTCAAGGTGACTTTTGGTTAAGTTCACAGTCGATTTAGTTTAGACAGTGAAACTTGGCTCCACGTAGCAGCTCAAACACACAACCACAGAGGTCAGACAGAGGCTGGAAACACAACAATATCCTCAGGTCCAAAAGTCATTATTTCTGCTTAATAAAAATAAATAAAAATTAAAACGCACATTTCCAAAACAGAAAAAGATTGAATTATACGCGCTTGAAGGAGCTGTTTAGAATTTTTTTCACGGCTCGCTAGCATCTGACAGACGTCTATTTATAAATGCATTTCTGATGACTCAAGTGGGCCACGTAGCCAGCACAACAGAATTAATTGGATTAGGGAGGTAATATGCGTCACAGATCAATATCCAGATCGTACTCGCCGGTGCACAGGGACCAAAACTGTAAGCGTATCCACACGACTGGACTCCACAGGTCATTTTCCCTTATTTGTCGGGCCACTTTAGGGGAACCAAACCAAATCAGGCCGTTCTGTAAGTAGGATAATGTGCAAAAGGGTGTAATTCTCAAGGCACCAGAGCAAGGTAATGTAATATTCTACATCTTTCTTTGCTGCTTTTTTTAAGGTGAGCAAAGTAAAACATTACACTGGGAGGTTGGCACATCAAAGAGAGAAGGAAGAAGGGGATGTATCGTAGTCTTTGTGGACATGTTTCTAAAAGCACGGCTTTTGATTCTTCTTTTTGTATTTTAAGTTTGGTAAAGACCCAGAAAAGTACGGTGATGTACTTGGACAACCTTGTTAAACTTCCTTGCTATAATTCTGCAAACTTTTTCTCAGACAAAAAGAGGCACTACAGATCTGCTGTTGGGCTCTATTTGAGATGAACTTGATTTGTCATTAGCAACCAAACCGATCGTCTTAGAAGCAGGATTGTTTTAAAGCTGAGGTACCTAACTTTCAAAGCAGAAAAAACAGTTTGGTTTCATCACAAGTTTTGACCCACATGTATTTTTTGTCACATGTTTACATCAGCTATTTTAGAAAAGAGACAAAGAGAGGATCAGCCCTCACTCAGCCAATCAGCTCTCAACCCAAAGCCTCATATTCAACAATATTTTCGAATAAGATGAAAAAAAAACGTTGTATTCTGATTTGTTGATATTTTACGATAACAAGACCCGTTTTATTAGGACAAACAACCTGCATTATTTGTATGAAAAGTCATATACCCCAGCTTTAACTTCACATAATTGAAATAATAATTGCCCTGGTGGCATCACTTTCATAGTATATATGAATAGTTAATTTGCAAAAACTGATATCTCTGTTTTGGGAATTTGACAAAAAACTTGTATTCCTCTGGCTACAATCGTCAACATATTTTTTCATGGCCATTAAATTTGAAAAGATTAGCTTAAGAAGGGTTGAAAAGGTATTTGTGTGGCACTAAAATAGACCTGGCTTCCCAAAAAACGCCTTAGTAACAGGCTTTCAAAAATATTTCTAATGGCACTCAGCTGCTTTTGCAAATAAATCATATACTGTTTTATACACAGTTTCAAGCATTTCAATCAACAGAAAGTCCATTTAAAATCACAACTTGCCAAATATAAACCTCTATTTAAAAAAAATTAGCATTCATTCTTATTAATGGCACGCTAAAAACATCTTAAACGTCGAGTCTTCGGGTAAATTCATCTTCATCACTTACAAGCCCATAACAGCAGCACCCTACATAATTACTGTATGCAACATCCATCCACTTCCTTCTTTATGCAACAGTCTGATTAGCATATGCAAACCGGCTGTCCTCTTAACAAGACAATCTCCTAATGTAGCATATACAAGGACACAGCAGCACAATTTATTGCAAATGCTGGGAACAGTCAAACATCTTCATCGCATTGTACACAACAGCAACTTTCTCAGCGCTAACAAATCGCCGCTATAAATCACCCCGGACAATTATTGCTTTTGTAATCTAATCAAGAATAAAGCATGGCATTTGCATAAAACACCTTTGAATTTTTTTGCTTCAGATGCATCGGAGGATCGGATTAAAACGTATACTCTATGTACGTTTAGTTTGGTTGATCCCACGCTGCTGTGTGCGTAGGATTCCGGCGCGAAAGGAAGATGGCAAAAGTAGTTTTTGTAGTTCTTTGTCTCTTTCTCTCTCTTTCCATGCTCCCGTGAATCTTATTGAGGAGAGGAATGAAAACACTATTCACTGGGAGAAAGGCTCTCACACTGACGAGAATACCAATACTTCAGCCTGGATACGACCTTGATCTGCAGACGCACCCCCCTCTCCCACCGCGGGCCCACCCCTCGCTCTGGCGCTAACGCTGTTTTGTTGCTCTCCGCGCTCCATACTGTATTCAACAAGAGAAATTCTTAAATGGATTTTTTGTGACCCTAAACCTTGTGAGCGAAGGGTGACTTGCGGGGTGGATTGTAAACACAGGGTTAGAAAAAACAACAGAACTCACAGTCTGGGTTTTTTTTTTTTTTTTTAAATGATCTGCAAACAACCACAGAATGAGTTGAAAGGTGTAGTGCTGCGCCAGTGGTTCCCAACCTGTGGTGCCCTGCGGACCCCCCTCGCTTGTTTAGACACGAGTATCTCTTGAAGTTGCTGGCCACAACATTTTTATCTTTACAGAAAGTGTGTTTATCACTATCTTTTGCATATTTCATTTATTGTTTTACCTGATTAGGGACAACATATTTGGTCAAAAGCTGCTTGATCTAAATGAACCTCACAAAAGATAGACGTAAAAGATATAATAAAATATTAAACCACTGAAAAATCAATTAATCAAACAAAAGGATTAAACATGTGAATTGAGAGGTTGAACAAACTTGTATATACAAATCTTTTTGTAATTGAAATAAAAGAATCAGTCGACCAACACAACATTTGGTCTTTCTGATCCGGCTGTTAGCCGCTGGTTGGAGATGTTACTTCTGATATTTCTGTATCACATAATGTTTTTACTGGCCCAAAAACCTGAATTTGTACATTGGGTTTGCTCTCATGTCCACGGATATGACAATGTAGATGGATTTTAATTTACCCTTTTAATTTACCCTTTCAGTGAGAAATTGATTGTCTTGTGCAGTAAAACAAGATAAAACTGAATTCCCCCCTGTATACTTAATTGATAGATAATAAAAAATAAAAACTATAGTTTGTAATTATTTATCAATATAAATATTCTATAGTTACAACAGTTTGACATACATTTTAAAACATGTCAGGTAATTTTAAGAAGACACTCAAAGCCTTAAACATTAAAAAAGATATATTAAACTATTTACATTTTGATTTTAAAATGTTTTAAGTTTTTAATCTAGTGTAACTCAATGGAACTTACAACAAATGGCCGCACTATATTTACACAAACAAAACTATCACTACGTTAATATTTAAGAGCAATATTTAAGAAGCAAAAAATGAAAATAAATGAATCCAGTCTTTGACAGAGCCCTCAGGTGTTTTCTGGGGCATTCTTGCGTAAAAACTGGTTCTTTTCTCTGCAGGTGAATGGTGACATTAAGAGAAGATTTCACCATCTGAACCTTGACCACCGGTCGCGCACTAATTGACTGATTGATGAGCAGGAAGTAGCATGTAGCAGAAGGTTTGCCCCTGGGGAACTAGGCAGTGATGACGAATGGAGGCTGTGCTGAGCGAGCCAAAGACAAATGGACGTATAATTGTATTTTCTGATAGGAACTGATTATGTCACTATTGCACGGCCGCAGGAAAGGGCAGCGGTTACGTGTGCAGTATAAGCTCGGCTGCCTTTTTCACTAGTGTTTACAAATGCATTTCAGATCAGTGCGTATGAGAGGATAAAGCTGGTTCTTTCTCTTTTATATCAGTATCTGTATGAATTATTGATACTACATGCTCAGGTATACTGGATGAACTCCAAAAACCACACAAAAACAAAAACATTTATCAAAAATGAGCAATATTGGGGCAATAATGTAAGTACCTTTGATACTTCAGTGTGTATTGGTATATTATTGACAACAAGAATATACAAAAATTGTCCCGCCCTTTGGCATCACTTCAACCAAAAACAAATGCTGGAGGAAAATAGTTAAACCAATGACGAGGCCCCTCAAGAATTTTAATACATTTCAACCAATCAGGACGCCGCAGGGCTGAGCATGGGCGGGTCTAACCACTGCTCAACTTCAAAACATATCACTCTCTATTCACA